TCTCTCAGCTCCAATCACACAGTCTTATGGGTCTCATGGAAATTGCTGAAGCCTAGCGGGGAATCTCCACTTGCTTCTACAGGATGTTTATCAGACTTGGATTGGAGGAATTCAGTTACCATGAGTGGTAACTGAATCCCCTTTTGATTTTTTATTTTGAGACAGGATCTTGCTAAGTTGCTTAGGACCTTGTTAAATTGCTGAGGCTGGCTTTGAACTTGCAATCTTCCTGTCTCAGACCCCCAAGCCTCTGGGATTAAAGGTGTGCACTGAAGTGTCCAACTTCTGCCTTCATTTTGTATCTGACTCCTTTATTACCGTAAAGTTTTGAGTCAGATTCCTGCTTGTTTCTGCACACAGTCATGCTAAGACAAGGCTTACGAGCCCTAAATCTACCTAACCTATCTTGTCCCCCTTCAAGAATGAGAACACCACAATAGAGTAATGAAGGTATTTTTTGAGATTTGCAGGGACATTCAACTACCAGCTTTTTACAGCATCCATTCCAGATGCCCTGGAGCAGTACCGAGAAGCCTCTAGTCATCGCTGGGTACTTTCTAGGAACAGTGAAGCCTTGTAGGCAGATCACTCCATGATGAAACGGACCCCCCACCTACACCCCCCACAGCAGAAGCAATCCACTCATGGTAACTGAATTCCTCCAATCCAAGTCTGAAAAACATCCTGTAGAAGCAAGTGGAGATTTCCCCCTAGGCTTTAGCAATTTCCCTGAGACCCATAAGACTGTGTGATTGGAGCTGAGAGAATGATTAACCAGACCACAGTTTGACCAAGACTGTTTAAATATGCATACCTCTCACCCACTTCTTCCTCTATTTAAACCTAAAGCTCACACCAGTCCCTCTGAAGATGGGAATGAGCCACTTGATCTCACTTGTCTTCCCAATATGGCCATATTGATTAAAGTTGCTTTCCTGCTTTTCACCATTACTTTTTCTGTTTGGTTTTGAGGTGAGTGGCCAGACCTGATTTGTTGGGACCCCCAGAGTCAGGCCTCTGACCTAGTACTCTGGAAACACAATAGATTACCTAAACCAGAAACCTGGGCATTACCTTTGATCCCTCCCTTTCCTACTTCACAGAATCCTCAGAGCTTCCTAAGTATCTTCCAAATCCATTTAATTCTCTCCATCCTAGCACTTGTGCTCCAGTTGAGGCCTCCTCTGATTATGTTCTAAGGATTTCCTCTTCTTTCTCGTTGCCCCCATTCTGCACATAGCATCCTGAGCAAACTTCCTAATGTGCAGATCTGATCTAGGAATTCTATTATGTGCATCTACTTCACCCTCAGGTTGTCAGTCAGTGACTAGATAAGAGAAGGCACCTTGCTGGGAAAGGTAGGCAACCCTGGTCACTGTGATACTGTAATTCCAGATTCATGGGACCCCAATAGGCCTCCAGGAGCCGAATCCGATGCAATCACACAAGAGTCTTTATTGCAAGCTGGAGCCTGGACTCACAACTGTTTCCAACGCAGCGGTCCTGAGGAGTGAGCCCCGGTCCTTTGTTCAGTGAGATTTTATAGGTTTGGGGGGATACTCTATGTGTCACAACATCACACAGCAAATCATTTCACACCGCGGAAAAGTCAAACAACAACTCTTAACATTGATTAGCGCATTCATTGGCAGGAACAAGTTGGGTAGAGGAGATTGATTAATACAAGAGGGGGATTCTTTTAACTGATTGGTTTAATCCGTGAGAGGGGTACATGCTAAACTACATGGTTTCCCAACATGTTATCAACCACCAAAAAATACTGGGGGGTCATCTGGCATCCCAGGTATTTTCCCTGTCTCATGCTGATTGGTGGTTGCTAGGGGGTTGCTATGAGTCCTCATCTAGCCTAACTGAGTCAGAGACACCTGGCGCTGCAGATCTCTCCTGTTATTTGCAGACAAACAACTCAGCAGGGTGCATATGTGCCTAGGAGTGCTCTGTGGGTTTTTCCAAGGACAAGGGTCACGCCCCCTTCCTTGGACAGGCTTTGCTCTGAGGTAGAGGCTAGTTTCTCAAAAATGAAGTCACATCAGTTTCTCAATACCACCCAATATCTACTTTGTCACTAATTTAGTGCAGGGGGTCTTAACAGATCCTGGGTAGGGAGGTAGGTTCCAGCTCAGAGTATAAGCCAAGTTCAGGCCTGAAGAATGATAAGCAAAACACCAGCCTCAGGCTGTGGGGATTCCAGCCAGAATGCTGAGGGTTTTCCAAACTTCTCACCTACTAGGTCGCCTTTTCTTGGATCAACAGGGAGTACAACTTGAGAGGCACTGACAACTTGGAACAAAGATATCTGTCTTCCTTCCTTGATAAAGGATCAGATCAGCATTCTCCCTATTTTGGCAAACAAGCTCTATGACCTCATTTCCCCTAAGACTACAGTAAAAGGGCTGTTATCAAAAGAGGGGATGAGTCACCAGAAACGGATAGGTGCCACAGTCCATAGAGAAAGGCACCCCTGAACAAGACAAGGTCTTTCTGTGAGGCAGCTGGGGAAAGCCAGTAGCCTTGGCATTTCAGAAACATTCATAGATTGCTGAGTCTTCCCATAAGGCTGCCTAGTGAATGGCTGCAGCCTAATTACTTATTTAGTTGTCAAACGTGGATTCTAGAGGCAGGTTTCACAGCTTCAGGCCCAGATCCGCCATTGATCTTGGGATCTGGGCCAAGTCAATAAACTTGTCTATACCTCAGTTTCTCATTCTGTAAAATGAGGATCATAATTTATTTGGAGTTCACACTGAATATCTGTTGGTAGATACCAGAATAGCAATTATCTTGAGGGTTATTGATTGGGAAAGGTCATGAAGGAAACTTCTGGAATACTGGACATTTTCTATGCCTTGATCTTGGTGCTGTTTATTTGGGTGTATACATATTTTATTTTTATCAATTTATTGATTGATTGCAGTGCTATGGATCAAACCCAGGGATCTTGCACATAGGCAAGATCTACCACAGAGCTATATCCCCAGCCCTATTTTTAATTTAATTTAATATTTTTAAGACAGGTTCTCCCTTTGTTTTCCAGGTGGCCTTGAAATCCTGGACTCAGTGATCCTCCTGCTTCAACCTCTTGAGTTGTTGAGACTACAGGCATGTGCCACTGCATCTAGCTATAATAGATTTTTAAGAGTCAAGATTAGTGTACTTTATAACCTTTACTCTATTTTATACTTTAATTAGAAAGTTTAAAAAATGGAGTTAATGCCATACACTGTTGTGGTACTACAAATTGGTGCAGCCAATATGGAAAGCAGTGTGGAGATTTCTTGGAAAATTGGGAATGGAACCACCACTTGACCCAGCTATCCCTCTCCTCGGTCTATACCCAAAGGACTTAAAAACAGCATTCTACAGGGACAAAGCCACATCATTGTTTATAGCAGCACAATTCACAATAGCTAAATTGTGGAACCAACCTAGATGCCCTTTAGTAGATGAATGGATAAAAAAAAATGTGGCATATATACACAATGGAATATTTCTCAGCAATAAAAGAGAATAAAATCATGGCATTTGCAGGTAAATAGATGGAGTTAGATAATATAATGCTGAGTGAAGTTAGCCAATCCCAAAAAAACAAATGCTGAATTTTTTTTATATATATAAAGAGGCTGATTCATAGTGGGATAGGGAGAGACAACATGGGAGGAATAGATGAACTCTAAATAGGGCAGAGGGGTGGAAGGGGAAGGGAGGCGGCATGGGGTTACTAATGATGGTGGGATATGATGATCATTATTATCCAAAGTACAGGTGTGAAGAGATGAATTGGTGTGAATATACTTTGTATACAACTAGAGATATGAAAAATTGTGTTCTATATGTCTAATAAGAATTGTAATGCATTCTGCTGTCATATATAAATACAAAATAAATAAAATAAATTTACATTTTTAAAAACTAAAAAAAAATGGAGTTAATGCTATCTAACTCCCAGCATCACTGTGAGGATGAAATATGCTTAGCAGGTCACATCATTGCTCCTAACCAGAGTCCAGTATTTGGCTATTGACATAGCAAGTGGTGACCACTGGAGTGCCTGTGCCCCCCAACAAGCAGTGAACATCTTGGAGGTCAGGTACGTTGGTACCTTCCTGTTCCTTTAAGGAGGAGGATTCCATTTGGGTGCTAAGCAGTTCAAATTCAGCCAGTAAGAGAGACAGCGAACACATCATTGCAAGTGTGGGACAGGGGCTCTGGAGACCTGGGAAGGGTTTCAAACAGGTGAGTGTTTTGAAGGGCTTCTAGAAAGAAGTTGGTCTTTGGAACAAGAAGGTACTTTAGCTCTCTGAAGGCAATGGGTCTGATTTTGGTTCTTGTCTCTCTTCAACATGCCCGGCACACATTGGACCATCAATACCAGCTGGCAACAGGAATGAATGAGCCCCATCCGTGGTGGCATCATGAGCTCTGATTTTAAATAGAGAATGAGATGTAACCCAATGGGGAAACACTCTGATGAGCTGAGTCTGGACAGAACCTGTCAGGACATAGAGCCTCCAACTCCAGGACACATTTCCTGGGACTCCTCAGTCACCACCATGGTTGAACAGCTGCTCCAGTACCCAAGAGACAGCTCTGGAGGATTCTCAGAACCTGGGCCACCAGAGGGCCAGGCAGGGACAAATTAGGTTAAAGGTGAAACCTCTGGGTCAGGAGTCCTCGGGGCAAGCCGGGCGCGTTAGGGCAGGCTGGTGTTGACAGCAGGTGAGGATGGCATCCCCATGAATCTGGGAGGGAAGTGGGCTGCTCAGGTGGCCGGTCTATTGCACAGGTGCGAAGCCAGAGGCCCAGGCCGGGCGCGGTCCCAGCTCTTGTCCCTCCGCAGGCGGCGCCAGAGCGCAAGCCCGCCTCGTGACTCCGGTTCACAGTCCCGCCGGGCGGGGCGAGGGGCGGGCCCGGGAGCCTGGGCGTTGGAGCGCGGTCACAGTCACGCCGCGGGACGGACTCACGGACGATCGCTCAGCCGGACCTTTCAGGGACATGGGGGAGCGCGTCACTCGTAGCTGCTGCCTAGGCTGGGACTTCAGCACGCAGCAGGTACGGTCGCAGGACCCCACTGCCTGCGGGGCGGGGCCATCGCCTCCGCTACGCCGCGCGGGCTTGCTGGCTCCGGGCCCTGCGATCCCTGGGCCGAGCAGCGGGTGCGCCGCACTTTCGAGCTTCCCGGGGCTCAAGCGCCTCTTCCTGGTGCGTGGCTGCCGGGCGATGCCCTGCCGGAGAGGTGCGCTCTAGACTCCAGCCTTTCCGGAAACGGCGGGCGCCCCCCGGCGGGACCCAACTGGCACGTAGCAGGGACGTGTCCAGAGAGGGGCGGTTCGCCTGCTGACCTGGGCACTGAGTAGTAGGGACTCGAAGACATTCAAATCAGTGAGGCAGAGAAGCCAACAGACTGGTAGACGTGCGTGCTACGTGTATAACCAGTGACCTGAAATGGATCATCCTTCCAACCGCCTACCCCCATTCTTTTTTCTTTCTTGAAATGGGCACAATGTACAAATGGACTTTGCCCCTCCCTTTGGCCGCCCTTGGATGCACCAGTGTGCTTGGGTCTGTGGACCCAGGACTACTGGCCAGAGGAGGTCTGTGCTGCTTTCAAGTCCTGCAGACAGGCGAGCAGAATTAAAATGTGCCATCAAACTGAGCATGGGATGCCCATGGGACTCCTCTTTATAAGTACTGGGGGATAAATACAGTCAAAACCCCCAGTCTTTAGATGGGCCAAGGGAGCAGGCCTCAGATAGCTCTAAGGGGAATGTCCTGTGGGACTCCAGTTGCCTTGCTAGGCTTCAGTTTCCCCATCTGTCCAGGAAAGGAACTAAATTCCCGAGCTTGGAAATATGCTTCATCGGGACATTAAATGTGTCTAGATCATGATCATGGTTGTTGAGACTAGCCCATGGGCCTTGCCTGGTATCTCAGACCTCTGCAGACATGAGTGACACCTGCCCCTTTGCCTCCATTCCTTGCCAGGCACTGGAACCAGCTCATCTGTACTGGTTACCTTTAGAGGGTCTTGGCTTTTGGCTGTTTGGGGAGCCACGATTCAGGTTCTTCATTTTATTAAATCTTTGGATATGTCCCCAGATGAAGCCTTTGTTGCCATGGCTACCGTGATATACCCTAGCCTCCCAGGGGGTGTTTAGGCTGAACCTTGCCTAGTGATGTTACTAACTCCTGGGCCAATATAGAAGCTGAGGAAAACTCTATGCTATTTTTTTTTTTTTTAAATGCCTTCCAGGTGAAAGTTGTTGCTATTGATGCAGAGCTGAATGTCTTTTATGAGGACAGTGTGCATTTTGACAGAGACCTTCCAGAATTTGGGTATGTACCTGTGTGTGTGTGTGTTGGGGGGCCAGTGGCTTTGGGTTTCTTCCAAAATTTACATTCATGAACCACGGTGTTATGGTTTTATAAAATTTTAGGAATGGTGATCTTGACAGATCTCTGAGTATCTTTTTTCTCTATACCTGGAATACTTTCTTCTCCATTTCTTCCCAATGCTATTCATCCATTTGCTCATTCATTCCTACATGTCTTAAGTGTCATTTGAAATCTGCTTTGTAACAGACACTGTGCTGGTTGTTATCAGTCCATTTTCTGTTGCTGATGACATAATGCCACAGACTGAGTAAGTTATAAAGAAAAAAAAAGTTTATTCTGGCTTATGGTTCTGGCAGAAATCTAAGAGCCACATCTGGTGATATCCTTCTTGTTTTCAGAGTCCTGAGGTGGCACAGAATATCATGTGAGAGATAAAAAGTATGCCTGTGTATTTGTGTAGGAACTTTCTCTCTCTCTCTCTCTCTCTCTCTCTCTCTCTCTCTCTCTCTCTCTCTCT